ATTACCATGAGCCCACACAAGTGAAAATATTATGTCTCCCACACAGTATTGGTATAAGAGCACAGACTGCAGAGGAGAAGCACACACTTTACTCTAATTCCCCTGTCTCAGGAATTAAAGCCAGTCTGAAAGTCCCTTATGCTGTGTTCTTTTTAATCACCAAACGGGGTTCGCACAGTCAGAGCTTTTGGCACTAGATGGTGAAATCTATTTTTGTGAAACAATCTGGGGAAAAAATAGGTGATCTTTAGTCACGGGTGTGTGGTTGTTTAGTGTGAAAAGCTCACCAACAGCCCATGTAGACTACTGACAGGTGAACTACGGCGCACTTTAAGGAGAAGCAACGGATTACTGGAAAGATCGGGTGCTGTGCTGGCTGCTGCTTTTAATTGTCGGTCTTTCTGTCAACGCCGTCTATTTATCCTCGTCTCTCTACTTTATTGTCTGGGAAAAGATTCTTAACTTCAACTGGCCTTATTTTTCTGATTATTTCAACATGCAACTCTCTGGAAGCAAGCCAAGGTCCTCAAGTCACAAATTTTCTTTGGAGTATCTGTTCTAACGAGCATTTTGGACATTCAACCAACTAAGTTGATTAAGATTTACATTAAGAGACACTCCAGACGTTAAAAAGAACTAATAAAATAGCAGATAATCAATATTACTGGACACTACTCAAAATGTTCTGGTCCGAAGAAGAAGCAGAGCATAAACGTGTTCCGACCTTCACCTGTGTCTCACCTACGAGATTTGGATCGTGGCAGATAGAACAAGATCTGGGATATAAGATGCTGAAATGAGCTTTTTCCCCAGAGTGGCTGGACTCAGGCTTAGAGATAAGGTGAGGAGCTCCGTCATCTGAAGGGAGATTTAAGCAGAGCTGCTGGTTCCCCCTCATCAAAAGGAGTTGGTTGAGGTGACTGGACCCCTTACTGTGGAGGGTTTGGGGGCCATGGTCAACGAAAAGTTTTAAAGAGTGTTTCTTAAAACAGGAAAAAAAGAAAGAAAAAGAAATGATTTCAATTCAAGTCTTATGGTAAAATGAAAATACTGCACTTGAGATTTAGATCCGTATTACAGTGAATTTCTCCATAATGTTCCTAAACAATGATGAAGATCTTCTTCAAGAGACCATCATAGAAAAACCACAAACTTCTTTATACCTGGTTAAATTGTAGGGGAACAACTGAAAAAGAAACAGGCCCACAGCATCACAAAACTTTGTTCATATTGTTTTTTTTTTCTTTGTTTTTTAGATTTTAATAACCCCATTTTTGAGCCAAATAAAATAAGACCAGACAACTCCTCGAAACTTACTAATGCATTAGATATTTTTACAAGCAAAATCATTATGTACAGTAATTATTACTGAAGTGTCCTTTGAATGAGCTAATGGTGATAAGCCACATAATCATCTTGCAATGTGCTGATTAGGCCACCTAAGGCAAAGTAATTATGTAAAAGCTAATCAAACTTAATACTCTGAAAGCTTTTTGGACATTTTCACTTAATCTGATGTGGAATAAGTGAGGTTGACAGTTTGTTCCTGCAACTTTCTTTGCGTATTAAAGCTGCCGTGTGTGTAGGTGTGTGTGTGTGTGTGTGTGTGTGTGTGTGTGTTTCCAGGGCACGCGAGATAATTAGTTCGACCATGTAAAAGACAACCGTTACCGGGACTTGACTTGAAAATATAAAATTTTAAATGCAACATTGCATTTCTACATGCAGAGGCAAAATACATCTTACTGGACTCTGGTAGAAAGTTATTGTGGCAGATATGGAGACTAGGTATGCATCCGAATGAAATTCTTACAATTTGCTAACATTAGTAAGCTCGAACAATTTTGTGGAATCAAGGTATTCCCAGTCTACAAAAGGAAATAGGTTATTAGACCATCTTGACATTTCTACCACAGCGCTACCATGTAAAACTGACAGTCTCAAACTATGACTTTTACATCCTTGGAATATACTGAGACCTGTAATCCATTCATCAAAGATGATGACTTTAAAAGAAAAATGCAAACACTGTAGATAATGTAGGATATTCAATAAAAACAGACTCTACCTGGACATTTCTAATTAAAACACAAACCAGGAGAAAATGTTTAATCAGTTAATGTGTTAAAGTTTGAGACTGTTTGTTCTCCAGCTGCTCCAAAACCCTCACTGAAATCTTTACAATGGAAATCCCAAGGATCTAGGACAAAGAAAATATCCTGTGTGTACATTAACCCACACCTCTGGCGTAGCAGTACTCCTCAAATTATACTGAGCTACAATAATATTAGTTTTCACTTTAAGTTATGCGTAGTTTCAGATGATGTAGTTCCCATGCTGCTAGTTCATGACTACCTTATTTAAACTTTAAGGATGGAGTGCAGAAGAACCATAAATCAAGGAGGCACCAAAGGGTGATGGCATTTACTTAATGGTACTAAACCGTCATCATCAGCCCAAATAAGAACAAAAAGAGCCCAGTAGCATTTTGAGCAAAGCTCACTTTCAGTGATGCTTAAAAAAGGTGGCGTGGCAAGACACTTTTGTCAGACTAATGAACGCTGCTTCTTCTCCAAAGATAAAAAGCAAGAAGACGGACCGGTGGATCGATTTACAGCCTGTCATCTGTCTATATTTTCCTCAGTATTAGGGCCTGGGGAACATTTCATAAAGGCCATAGGGTCGGCTTATCATGGAGCTAAATGCCAATGTAATTATTAGTGTCTGGAGATAGTGGAAAGGGAAGCACATCCTGCGGCAGAACACCATATTTAATTAATAAATGTCACTCTGCAAAGGGAGTGAGGGGTGTGCACGAGTAAAAAATAAATAAATGAAACGGTGAGGGAAGCAAACGGGAGTGACGACAAAACTGGTCCTTTGCACAATAACAGATCAGTAGAAATTCACTTTGGAGCACATTGATAGCCAAGATGTGCAAAAGGCCTTAAATAAATTAGAATTTTTATTGCAGTAGTATAATCTCACGTTGATTAAAATTGAAAAATCCCAACCTTTTGAGTGCATTTATTCAAATTCCTTCAAAATGAATGTAGCTGAAGCTTTTCTACACTCTTGTTTCTTTAAGCTTGTGAACGTTTTTAAGAAATTTTAATTGATAAACCCACGACTTTCAGTTCATGTGGGGTACAAATATGAAATGACACAGAGGTTAGTTTCTTTCAATCCCCTGCCCACCAGCCTGAACCAGGAACCATTTTTATTTTGACTCCACATACAGGGAGTAGAATGATCAGCACACAGAAAAAGCTCTGTTGGAAAACAACAGCAGAGTGGCATCTTCAGGACACCAATTCTCCACAACAACTATTAAATGCTGTCTGCAGCAGCATGCCAACCAGCAGCGTGAGAGTGCCAGCATTAATAAAAATAAAAAAAAGCTTTTTATACCTACTATCACAAATGTAAACATGTAGAGTTTGAAAAATTCCACTGCAACTTTAACTGGACATGTGTTCTCTGGGCAGATGAGCGTTAAGATTGAGATTCTGAGCAAACAAACACTCTAGACAGGTCTGCCGTGAAACAAGCATGAGAAACATGTAGGGGAAAATAGGCCCACTGATGGGTACAGTGGAAGACCTATGATGCTGTGGGTATTGGATCTGTCAGCATTTGGAAGAAACCTTTTCAGAGGAAGCTCTCCAGATACATCAGCGGCTTTAAAGGATGGAAAGTGACATGGCTCCCACAGGGGGCTAGGGTTGAAAGACCCAAAACACTGAACGTTCACATGCACCAGCAGATGTATTTACACGGTACGTAAGGCTTCTTGTTCATTCAGTTCCAACAAACAAAACAGGCGGGAAAAGAATATGACAGTGCCAGCAAATAAATATTTTTATTTTTTTTATTTTTTTTTTGTGATAGATATAGAAAGCATATAGAAGCTGAAAAATGTTTGAGGAAAGTTGTCTAAGTTTTATGAGGGTGAAAAAAGTTTACTAAGGCAAATGAGGCCTCCGTTTAAATCTAATCTAATCAACCAAACACCTTTCACTATCAAACCTCCCACTTTTGGCAGCCACCATTATTCACCATGAAGAATCTGCTGCCCTGGAGAAAGAACGTCGTGCAAAGCGCTTTCCTCGCCACAAGTCTTCTTGAAAATCTCTAAGCAGTTCTAGAAGATGCAGATAAAAGACGTCCAACTGTTATTCTCCAAGGGAAGAAGAGGGAAAGTTTTCCAATTAAGGAATCTTCTTCCTCCTCTTGGTGCTGCATGTATTGTATGATTGACAGCTTCATTAATTAACCAGCTAGACTTTAAAGAATGATGGGAAGAATGGCTACGAGCTGTGCGAGGAATATTACAGGAGCAGAATGCAATTAAGCTTAATTTCTATCGTTAAAAGGAAACATAAAGAGAATTTGTATGCGCCCCACATTCCAGCCTGGTCTAAAAACCAACCAAGTTTCAAAAACACAAGGCTACAAGATGCAAGGCTACGCTCATTTATTTAGCAGGATTTTCCCCAATAGATGAACTATGTAAAATTTCTGTATTTAACAAGAATTGCTAATCCACAATTCTGTTATTAACATACAATATCTGTTATGTTCTAGTCAGAGACCCCCACTTATTTGGCCGAGCATAATTGGTTTTAATCACAGTTTTCACTAAATATTGTACTACTTAAAGAAGTGGTTTGTCTTTTTTTTTTTTTTTTTTCCTTGTGGTAGCTGTTGGTTGAAAAGCTCGGGTTCAAATTTAGTCATGTGACGTACAAACATACGTACTCAACAGCCGTCCATGATTCTCTGCAAGCCGTCCACCATCCTCAATACGTCACAGAATCTTTACCTCCACTGACAACCGCAACAAAAACAACTCTAGACCAGGGAACAGTGAAATCAAGCAACCCTTTTGTTGTCAAGTAAAGGAAGCCATTGCGGATGTGAGCAAAGCCAGAGTTGAACAGAAAAGGGACAAACTTTATTCTGTATTTTCATCGTGCATTTTGGAGATGTTGAACTGAAGCCATTGGTTCGTCATAAATCCTTGATTTCCTGTATTTCTAAAAATAAAAACAATAACCCTTTTCTAAACTTTTATATTCTTCAGATTTTCTTGCACATTCATTAGCAGCTGGTAAATTAAACCTGAAAAACTAGGCTCTGAAAATCCAATTTTACTTACAGGAGACAATAAATACACTAAGCTAGCTGCAATAAGAGAAGTGCAGAGTCAGGAATCTCTTGTTCAGCATGATGCGAGTCTGGTCTCGCTTTTGGGAAGGTCGGAGAGTTCAGGTCTCCTGTCTCTTTGCCTTTCTTGATGTCGGGGAGTTTGCACGCACCAAGAACTCATCACGCAGGACGCAAGCTCCCATGATGCCCCAGAGTTTCTTTTTCGCTCCTTGGCCTCCTCAATCACAACCTTTCTTAACTTGAAGTGCTACTTGAGAAGCGGGTACACCTGAGACCATCTCGCCTCGCTGTCATTGGATCAGCTGCTGACTCCGACACCGTATCCTTTGTCTTTTGTTCTCTGCCCACATAATAAGTCTGAACTGCCTGAAGAACAGGGGGAAAAAAATAGGAGTTGAGGCGGTTATGGAAAAATAAAAAATAGATCAAGGTCTTGGAAAGCTGCAAAACAGGGTAACAAAAAGAAGTCTTTAAATGTTTCTTATGCAACTATTCCTTTCCCTCTTTCAAAGGCGACACTCCTCGGCACACAGAAGTGGGTATTCTTGTTTGGAAACAAAGGCAGGCTTGCTTCTGAGGCAACTGCTAAGCGATTGCAAAGCAGATGCTTTTTTCTCTCGCCAATCAATTTAACACCTACACCTCCCCTCTCCTCCTTCATGCTGGCTCTGGCTCATCAGTTTTAAATGGCACAAGGCAGTCTCGAATTGTTCTTTTGACTCACTCAGAATACAGGGAACATCTCCTCAGTTACAACAGCCCCACCAAGACTTAATCACTAATAGCTTAGGTCGGCAGAGATAGAGAGTGCTTTTTACTCTTTTTTTTTATTTAAAAAAACAAATCTGGAAAAGTCTGTTTTAAGCTTTCTTTAGGAAATACTTTGTGGAGCCACCTCTAGTTGTAACTACAGCTACAAGTCTTAGCAACATGTCCTGACCAGCTGTACTCGCATGTAAAGATAGACATTTTTAACCTTCGCCCTTCGCAGAATAGCTCAAGCTCAGTCAGGTTGGATGGAGAGAATCTGTGAACATTAATTTTAAAGTGTTTCTAGACTTTGACTGGACCATTCTAATTCATCAGTTTGAAACTTATTTCTGGTTATGCCTTTAGGGTTATTCTCCTGCTTGAAGGGGAACTTTTTTTTTTCCAGGTCCATCCATCCTTCCAAATTGTCCCAACTTCCTTCTCTCTGAGCTAAAGATGCCCACAACTTGATGCTGCTACCACGTTTTAAACTGAGACGGAGTTGTAGGTTTATCCCACTGAAAGCCTTCTGCGAGTGCTACATTTGTTTGGCTCTCCTGTTTGGGTGAGCATCGATTCTTGATTGAAGATGTGCTATTCTCTTTCCATTTTCAGCTGATGGACTGAAAAGCAATATGTGACATATTCACTGATGTTCTCCAACAACCACCTCAACATCATCCCACTCCAGTTAGATTCTCCAGCTCATTGTAGGACAATCCCAAGGCATTTCCCCAGACCAGAGGGGATGAATTGTTCCTTTAATCGAGAGAGCTCTTACTTGGCTCTCCCCAAAGTAGGAAATGATTGGAAAACACACAAAGAGAAGAAGCGTCTCGATCAAATGCCCGAACCACCTGAACTGGTTCCCTACGGACTCAATTTATTTAATGGACCCACTGGATTTTATGTGAGGAGTAACAAGGAGCTTTTCATCTCTAATTGATATTTCTGGAGGTTGCTGTGTGCCCCAACCCCAAAAAACTGTTAAATGTAGGGGTGGCTTTTTTCACAGAACTAAATTCAAAATTCCAATTTTTTTAATACAGATGAGCTTTTGACAAATCTGCTCCACAATTTATAGATTTTTTTTTTTTTAACACTGAAAACAATGTATTATTTTTCTTACACCTCACCAAAGTGCATACACTGAAGTTTGTGGTTGTTGCACAACAAAAATGTAACAAAAGTTGAAGAGGTATGAATATTGCAGGAGATAACTCCTAGGTGTCTAAATCATAGCAAGTCTCAGTTATATTTCTGAGAGTTGGTAAAAACAGGATGTGGATTTGGGAACATTTTTTTATTTTTTTTCCCCATTATAAATCTTGTGCTCAACAGAATTCAGGGGGGGAAAAAAAAAAAAGCCATCTGTGTCTGACTCTTATCCCTGGCTTTCTCTAGAGCCTGGATGAGCCTGAGCCAGCAAATGTCAGCCGGATAAAGACCAAGCCTGACAGACAGACACTGGGAGTTTTGTCATTCCGTGTGTCATCCCTGTGCCAGCAAGCCCCAATCTTTGCCGGTCTCAGAAGCCCTCAGATGATGCAGGAGAGAAACGTTCTGAGGGAGAACGTCAGGTTGTGTAACTCCTCTAAAGCCCCACGTAAGGCTGAAACGCTGAGGACATGCACTGTTTCTGCACCCTGACGGCCTCGGAGGGTTTTCATTATTGTCTTATGATGGAGGTCGCCATAGAAACGGCAAACACATCAACAGTCACCCCACCCGCCACAAACGAGCTAAAGCGCTTCGATGAGATGTTCTTTCAGAGGCAAGAGGTCTGTCCAGTGTCGGATGTTATTTAATGCGACTTGGTATTTAGAAAAACAACTGAATCAAGCAGATTACCTGGAAACGGCTGTAGGTAAGCTCAACAAAACATAACACGCTTTATACCGAAAACATTGACTGTGATCATCATGCGTTAGTGTAATCTTCTAATGTGTTTTTTCCGCAATAAAGTAAATGTACAGTAATAAGAAAAAAAAAATCTAATTATCCAGTTATCTGAACCTCTGTGTTCACATCTCATCATTCAAAGTTAAACAGAGCGAGAAGCAGAAAAGGATAAGCATACAGCTCGCCACATTTAATTTATATTTGCACAAGCTTGTATAATATTTAATGTACCTTGCTATTCAATATCACCAGAGAAAGTGAAGAGAACAGTTTATTGCTTTATATTTACATGGTTTTCTGAACAAAAGATTAGATTTTTTGCGTTATTTAACTCAATGATTTCCCCATACATTTAATCTTATAAAATGTTCTATATCACACAAGTCTCAAAACCATATACACAATTTTTTTCTAAGGATGTTTAGGCATACATTCACAATTTAAAATAGAAGTCCACTGAACAGTGTGCTGCTTCGCAGGGCCTCGTTGTATTTACGATGAAAATACAACATGGTTTTTTTGTTCCATATTTTGTGCAATCATTTAAAACGGTGAATCTTATTTTATATTCATAGAGCAACAGAAGCTGAGGAACAGACAAGAAGCTTCAGCAAACAGAAAGGCTAAATGATCTACAAAATGGTGACTTTTTTTTATCCTTTTAAACGTTTAATCTGCTTTTGGTCAAATTGGATAAGGAAACGTTAAACTGGTGACAAAATAGGAAATTTTAAAATCTAGAAAATAAGAAGCTGTTAACACCTAGTTATGCTAACAATGCTACTTGCTAATAACATGTTAAAATGGTTTTAAAAATGTTTCTGTTACGTGTTCTTGACACTGTTTGTTTTACAAAACTAATGTTTGGAAGTCCAAATTTCATCACTACCAACATTTAATGGAGCAAAAACTATAATTCAATACTTCGATTAAACATACTTTTTTTTCTGTACAGACAATCAGTCGCCTTTCATGAGCCCATACAACTTGTGACTTTTCACTCAAATGTTTCAGAGCTTCAAAGGACCAAACAAAACAGCTAGAACGAGAATGATGTGAATATCTGCACTGCTGCGCAACAAATTTCTGTAAACAATGTTCCCAAGCTCCAAAATGGATTTGAAAGACCTCCTGCTGCTGTAGAATGAACAAAAACAGAACAAAGCAGCCAAAAGGAATTCAAGAAACGCTCCAAACACAAGACACATCAGGAGAATTATTAAATATCAAAGAAAGATGTTTTCAAATGCGTCCATATCAGTTTGACGATGTCCTAATTGTCAAATATACTGTTGAAAGCACCAGAAATCTTTTACTGGCTATTTGATGCTTCCTGTAATTTGAAACTTTAATCCAAATAAGTTGCTAATTTAACATCAAATTGGTTATTTCCAAACCTCAGATTAGGTTACATAAATGATTAGAAGAACCGAGAACATGACCGGACATTTACATAAGTTTAAAATGAAAATCAAATGAGCCCGTCTTCCAAACTTAAGGAGTAATAATTTAATACGAGGCTTTTCTTGTTTTTCTTGTTAGATTTTTACAGTCCAAATTGCTCTAGAAGTGATTCTAACGAGAGTAATGTCATGTTTGTGGTGTAGTCACTTGAAGTGGAAACTTAGGAACACTAGTTGTCGGTATTGTTGTACTTTATGAGGCCACAATTTAGTAAAGTGCTGTACGAAAAGTGTTGAGTCAGGAAGTAACATTTAGCTTGAACCAGTACTATCCAAGCGCTATATATAAATACATTTCTTCTAGCCTACTTCAGGTCAGCCAAATACACATTAAGATCTTGAAAACCGCACTTTTTAGGTCGTGCTGTGAAAATCACTTTCGGTTAGTCAAGCCCAGATCTTTCAATTGCATTTACGCATCACTGGACATCAATATGTGGACAAATTCTTCACAATTCAAAATACAGAGAGCATGTATAGTAGAAGCATGACATATTTTCTCAATTCTTTCCAGCATACATGTGTCAAGACATCCAATGCTGGATTAAGTTTAAAGAAACAAGATATGTCATTTAACAGTAAAAACTGCAATAAACCAGCTCTCCATCGCCTCAGCTTTATTACATTTAAAATATACCCTGTCATTAGAAGAACAAGAGGATAATTCGACTAACTTGTTTCCCTAGATGTTAGAAAGGAGGTATTTAAAACAGTGTTTATGTCAATAAAGTAAAACATCACCAATCGATACACTCGTGTCGAATGAGCCGGTACAGACTGTCCCAGTGGACTGAAATGTCCCTATGTGGCTTACCACTCGGTGTGTACCATGTTCTCTGGAGCTGCAGTTACCCAGCTGCAACATCAATAGTATTTGTCAAGTGGTTAGAGCTGATAAGGACACAGATGATTGCCTTGGGGTTGCTTAGAGCCTGGTTTGTCAGTGTAACTTGGAAGCTAGAACTGTCAGTAATTGAGCTAAAGCGCTTCATATCCCCTTCACCTGACTGCTTGTATCATTCCATGTTATATTTCCCATGCTTTCTGGAATTAAAATCAGGGCAATTTAGTTATTGGACAGCGAGACAGTCCTCGATCTGTCAAGACTTGCCGGAGCAGCCTCTCCATTTTGCGCTTTCCCTCTCTCGCCTTTGACCTCCCACAGGTTCCATTAACTGCGGCACCCAAGCAACCTCGAGCACATCCAATCTTGTGACAGTTACATAACAAAACATGAGTGCA